CGTAACCTCTCAGTTGTATTGATACAGAAGGAGAAAAAGTAATGTGCAAAAAAAGTTCTTGAAGAGATCAGTGGTATAACATTAACATTTAAAATTTGAGAGAGACATTTTGACAAGTAACATGCTGTGAATCAGATTTTTGTTGCTGAAGGATTGTCAGCAAGGTTTCATCTTTCCTGTGTGTATTTTGAAAAGCCAAGAGAATCAGATGGTCTTGCTTCGTAAGCGTACAGGGGCATGATTTTGACCTGTGCATTGAGGAAAATGAACTCTTAACTGTCCTCAGAGCATGGCCACATTATTCCCTGTGATTAACTCCAGTTGACTTAAGAGCAGAGTTTATGAGCAGAACTTCAGTGTATAGAAAAATAACAGTAGGACATGAATATGTAAGGAACAAATACCCTGTTTCCATGGAATTTTGGTGAAGGAAGACAAATAAGTACATTTTACATATATTATCATTGTTGGAAATAGAGGATTCTCTATGTTGTAAGAAGGCAAAAAAAAAGATTATTGAAAATGCTTAGGGGTTTATGTCTGAAATGTTGTATGTGTTCACTTCCATTTGCACTAGGGAAAAAAAAGTGTTCTTTTTTGATTGCCAAATTTTGTACAATAGGAACATGTGAAACCCAAATACCACTTAATGGGAATGGTTTTATTATATATTTATTTAAAAGTGATGTTTCCTCCCTGCATGTTATATGCAAAGAAGTCACCAAGGACAATAGTTTGGAGAATTAATAACTAAGGTTTTGTAGAATAACACGTACTCCTCTTACAATCCAGTGAAAAGAATGATTCTGGTAAGTGTTGATCAAATAAAACCCATCTGATTTCATAATAAAGTGCTGTCCTGTGGTGTATAAGGGAAATGTTAGGTCCTTTGCACAAAGCTCTGTATTGGAAATTGACAAGCTGAAAAATTGTGATTTACTGTATTTGAACCAAATATTTGGAATAGACTTCGCTTAATATTTGTTTGCTTGCATTTACTGTTGATAGGTTTTTTGTTGTTGTTATGGCTATGTTGACAGAAATAGGCTAGAGGTTTAGCATTAATATCCTGGAGACAAACTCAAGAGACAGTTCCTTGCACTGTGGCCATATCATCAATACCTTGACAGTTCATCTAAGTTCTTAAAAATGGGCATTTAAGATTTTACAGCAGTTCTTACTGGGCTATTCTGGTGCTTCACTGACCTTGAAAGGCTTTTGCAATTAGGGAGCCTTAGTCCCTTTTTCCCCCTGCTTATTAAAATACGCACAGTGTTTATAGAGGAAGAGAAGGAAGACTTACAAAAATAAACTGAGGTAGACAGAATATTTCAAACAAATAGTAATTTTGGTCTAATTATAGCATTTCCCACAGTGAAGCTACAGTATCAGAGTGGCCTGCAGATAGATTTACAGATAGACTGAATGCAGATCTGTAAGGGGATGAAAAGCATCTGGTAGCACTGTGATGTTGTCATGAGGTGAAAGCTTCATTGTAGCTAAGTTTATATTCATGTGGTACCAATTAGCAATTCCAGTGTTAATATTTTACAGTTTGGCACAACTCAAAGCTTATATTTTGAGCAGGTAAAAATGTGACAACTTGTCTTACTTTGTTCTTGTTGAGTTTGTTAGCTCTCCTCTTGAATTTGGACTAGAAACAGGAAAAAACACTCTCAACAGACTTGAAAACCTGTTGTTATTCAATTCTAATGCACCTTACAGACTTAACACGACATCAGGCTACTTATCAATAGTAATGATCATCACAGAATACCTTACATAAAACAATGAATGGATTTCCACGATGTGAACAATTAACTCTGTGCTTGGAGAAAATATTTTTGAGAAGACATCTAATAATACTCCGTATCCCTGATTTTAACTTTGTTGTGCAATGAAAAGTCTTTCTTCAGTTGTTGATCTGAGCCCTGTTGATTTCAGCTGTCTCTTTACCTTCCCTGATTCCTGTTTCTCCTTCTCTTCCTCTTCTGTTTTCTTTCAAAAGGAAACTGACAAAATACTACCTCACCTTCCCCTTTTTTTTCATGTCTTTTACCTGCTTTCCCCCAAATTGTGTTTCATCCCTTATCATCGACACAGAAATTATACTTCGGTTTATGTCATTTAAGCCTGGGTTTACCCAGTTACATCAGCCTGTCTTCCACTCTGCTTCACACTCCACTGCTTCATTTTTCTTCTTAATGTCTCTCTTTTATATTAGGATTTTCCAGTTCATAAGTGAAAAGCAGAGTATTCTTTAAAATACATTTAGGTCAGCATTAAACTGAATGGCTTGGAGTATTTTTTATGTGAAACGGAAAACAAAATACTGTTTAGATTCTTTCTTCAGTGAATCTGGGTGCTTTATTTTAATGCTGTTAAACTTCTGTCACCACAGCATTTGGTAGGAAGGAGATTCCTAAGTTCATTACAGACTAAGAATTAAACATGCATTTGCTTGTTTCAAACCTGCCACCTGTCTCAAAACAAAAGACAAAATGTTTTCATTTAGAAATCAATGTAGCAAAATATTGAAGTTCAACCTTCTCTCCAGATTTCCATCAAGACTACATCTACCAGTTCTTTCTGTGCAGCAGTTCTAAGGTACACTTGCTGAGTTGCATTTCCATTCACTTGCAGATATGAAGCATCCCCTAGGTCTTTTCAACCCACCATTCAGCTGATGAGTTTGTTTTCTCTGGCCTTGAAATCCACAGTCTTGTCCTTCTCCATCCATCAGGATTCTGCTGGAAAGGAATATTTCTAGCCCAACCTTATGTAACTTTGTAATATCACACTTGTTTCATTTTTCATTTGTTTCCCCCCTTCTCTATTAGATCCCACAGAAACTACTTCTCTTCGTTTCGTGGTACACTTCAGGATTCATCCCCTCTCAGTCATCACTCATTTACTATTTACTGTTTCTAGCATTTTAAAAGTCATTCTGTGTCAAACTGTGACCAGTTTAACTCTGTCACAAGCTGATATAGACCGAGTCCCTGTTTGAACATCAGTAAACTGTATAAGTAAGTCACCATCAGGAAGAAGTGCTGTTATCGCCTTCTCTTGGTACAGATGTCAAAGCTCTTTGAGGATTTTTGCGGGGAAGAGCATTGCCCAGCTGCTCGCTTTGTGTTACGTCTATTTTGTGGACTTGCAGCATGGTCACAGTCAAATTTGAGACCTAAGCTTTGAACAGTATCAGGTTGACTGTGATTAGGTTCCTGGCCCAACATATTAGTGAGGGGATAATGTGTTACAATTTTCAAAGACAACAAGCCTTAAGTAATAGCTGCAGTTGTGACAGGCTGAGGTTTTGAGAGTACAATGTATACTGTGACTCCTGAACCAAGTCATCTCCCTTTTACATTTCCTATTTTGTATTCTACTGTTGAAGTTAGGAATCAAAAATTTCCTGGGTTGTGAGTGCCAGGAATCAGAGAATTAGTGTCTACTCTCATTTGTTTTCCATTTGCAACCCATTCCAGGAAATTTTTTCCTGGAACTGAATAATGAACTTTTACAGAAATAACCAAAGATTTAAAATTCAGAATTTTCAGTTTGGGGGATGGAAATCAGGAAATTTTGTTGAGGTGGTTCTTTAGTAAGAATGCTTTTACTGACAACAGCGTTTATTAATGAGGAACTGGATTGCTACTTGAACCTTCTGTCCAGCTTCTTGGAAATAGTCTACTGAGAAGAACCAGTTAAATGTCAGTATGAAGGATATTATTGTAGCTTCATAATTTCTTCTTCTACGTATCATGTCTTCTATAATTTGAGATTCTGTAATGTATTTGAGCTTTATACGTCAGATGAAGTTACTTGCTTTTAAAGTTAACTTTTGTCTTGATGAGGATTTGTGCCCATGTCAGCTGTTGCTGGAAATGATAGAGACATTTGGAATCTGGAAGAATCAGCTTCACAAAACCATCATTGCTCCTTGAAAGAGTGCTGCCAGATTCCCAAATGATTCAAACCATATTTGAAAAATCCGTGGATCCAAATTGCTTCTTTTCTGAGAGGGATGTACATCCTGAAGAGATGTACTGGTAATTCTAAAGTCTTTTCTCAGCTATTGAGCAAATTGCTGTTGCCATTGGTGAGGTTCTGTCCGGTTTCTTGTTTTCAGAAGTACAAGTCTATGTGCTAGTGCACGAAAGCAAGAAATGAAAGTAGGAACAGCTATGGTATGACTAGCGTGCCAGCATAAAGAAACTATAATTTTCTTTTAAGGCAAATAGTAAGGGGTTAAAATGAGTATCAGAAGCTCCCGTCACAGATGTGATGTGGTGAGAATGCATGAGAGAGCTGAATTTTTTTGGAAGCTTGCAAGGTGGAAATTCAAGCATCACTTGCCGAGCTTCAGGATGGCATCCTTCCTTTCCCACCCAAGACAAAGGGTCTATTGCAGTTCTCTATCTCTCGATCAATTCAGTTCCTTGTAAGCTAATTTATTCTAGACAGTGCATTTTTCTATGTGCATGTGTTCTGTTGTTTTGCTACTCATAAATTCTCAGTCTACAGAATAACCTTTACAAGAGAGGAATAAGAATTTCCTGAATTTTATTATCTTCAAAGTTCCACAAGCGTTTTCTAGTTTGGGAAAGTAAAAGATCCAGTGTTCAATGTTCTTCAGGATGCTGATAAATTATGTTACAGGTCCTATGTTAGCAATTGAAGTAAATAGGGACCATAAAGGCTGCTCTTCGTCTTCTGCTTTTATTTCTCCTGAATTATGAAGCAATAGAAACACAAAATTAATACAAAATTAAGTTGTGGGTTTATTTAATTCCAGACTGCTTTAGTCTTTGTTAGCTTTGACATGTGCAAACTGAGTATGTATTAAGGGTGTACATTCCTTATTGGGAGATGTGAATGAAACTTCTGTTATTGTCAGGAAGTTGCTTTCCTAGTTTTTGATGCGTAATTCTAAAAATTGACTTCTCAGTAACATCATTCCACAAAATACATAGAACTTTTTATCTGTTTTCTAGGGTTGTGACTCTCAAATGAGCATGTCAGAAGTATCCTGCAGCGAAAGTACCTCCTCTTGTCAGTCTCTGGTACATGGCTCAGCTCCAGAAATCCTCCTTGGCCTCCTTTATAACGCTACAACTGGAAGATTATCAGCAGAAGTGATAAAAGGCAGCCACTTCAAAAACTTGGCAGCGAACAGACCACCCAGTGAGTGAAAATCTTTTTTCTTCCTAATGCTTCTGGACTGGTGGGGCTCTCGGTAGCGAGGCCTTCAATCCTATCATTTAGTTGTACCCAATCAAAATGAAATAGAGCAATCATCAACTAATCTGTTTCATGTTTGATATTTCTAGTCAGTCGGGAAATAGCAAAAATCTCGGATTCAAAATATTAATTGTAAGTTGACAAGACTGTTTAAATTTTTCATGATGACTGACTAATAAATTACCTTTATCATAATGATTAATTGCTAAATTACTAATGCCTAACATCACAGGCCAAGAATAAAAAGTTAGTGTTAAACACACTTTAAAAGAGAAAGTACATGCCAGCTAGTATTAATATAAACATTCTGAGCAGTTACTGCTTTTCCTAGAGGAGTTGACACTGCAGACTTTAATTGCTTTTGTGCCTCTGTAGATGTGGTGGTTATATATGTAGCTCGGGAATGTCAGTGAAGACAACAGAGAAACAAATTGAGACCCTTGGCATATTTATTGTGCAGAAGGAATATTCACCATCAGAAAGGACTTGTGTGCTCAAGCATTTGTTAAAAAATACATTGGTCCGAAATTCCTGTGAACTCTGTATACTTCTAAATTGGAGGCAGATGGGATGTCACACACACGGAATGTTTTTACTTCTCTAGTTCTTTGATGTAGCTTGAGGAAGTTCAGTAATGAACTTTTTCCAAATTTATTTTGTATGGGTTTTTACATGATGAGGCTGATGTACATAAGTTGTAGCCAGACATAGCTGCCTGTTCCTATTGATTTTGGTTGAGAGCTCAGGTTTTAGCCCCTGTTTCTGTTTCTTAATCCCCAGATTTGTGTGGCACTAGCAGATTATCTGGCATTACTAGATTACGTAGCAGGCTGCCAACACTTTATAAGTGGTTTGCACATCTCACTTTGTCTTCAGAGTTTAGGAAGTAAGCCAAACAACTTGAGACTGATGCTTTCTTCTTTCTTTCTTGACCCATGTTTTCTTCTCTTCTGTAATTAACGTTTGGCTCAGCCTTACGCTGCTTTGATTTCTGTATACTTCTCACGCTGATGGAGCCAGACTTTGTTAATGTGGCCAGAGAAGGAAGGCGAAAGAATCTCTAATACTTTCATATAATTAGGTAGCTGTCCCAGAGTCACCTATTTGGAGACAAAAGCATAGAAATAGATGGGGAGAGCCAAGAAGGCTCCCTCACTGGGGTGAGGGAAGGAATGAATGGGAGAGAAAACCTGAAGAGAAGGGACCATGTGTTCCCTTAAAGAAGAAACAGTAGGTGGCTTGTGCTTGTCCTTCTAGAATCTGCAGAAAGTCAAGTTTTTCTAAATATTTAGAATATGCAAGAATGGGGGTCAGTACTTGTTTTGTAGACAGATATGTGTCTTTGTTTCTCTGTGTGGCAGTTAATATTTTGTCTGAGAAAAAGATGCTTCTTAGTATTCTTCCAAATGTTGTTGAAACAGGGTGCGAGCTTTTGCACATCAAATGAATGTGTGTGTATGCATGCACACGCACATTAAATCCATAAATACATGGATTCAAACAAGTGAGATCTTTACATTTTAAATAGAGGCCCAGAGTTGAATTTCAGATGTAAGCATCCCTCAGCTATTTTTAGAGATTAGATCAGAATCATTCTTGTGCCCAAGTCTGTCACTACTCAAGAACTGAAGTATTACAATCAAATATATGAAACTATAAAAGCTAAGGGCAAAACCAGCTTAGTTTTCAGTTCAGTGATTTTTCATTTTATTGCTTTTTATATATGAAGTATAACTACAGTGTGCAGTTTTTCTTAATATGCTGGAGTTTGCATGAAAAAGCATAAGGTTTGGTAAAAGATACAGTGATTTTTTTACCCAGTCTTCTATTACCTAGTCATTTGCATGATTCTTTCTATGTTGAGTGTGCTGTAGAATCCAGTAGCTATCAGTGCTAAGGTAAACCATTATGTAAGAAGTGTAATTTTTGTTAAAGATTACACAAAAACTGCACAAAATTTTCATTTCATTAGGTTTTACCCAACAATCCTTTTGTTCGATCCTTTTTCTGATCTATGCTACTAAGGTTTTGTGTTCTTCCACTCCAGTGAGTAGTGTTTCCTCTTAAACTTTAACCTTTGATCCTCTCTCACCCAACTATTGACATCTGGTCATTATTTCTTTTACTGCTTTCCACCCCCCGTTGTCAGACGGACTGTTCTGTTGTCTAAAACACTTGATAGGTGGACAGGTTTATATAATCCGAGGTGAGTTCTTGTAGAAACTAATTGAATGTTGTCTTTTTCATGCAAAAGAAAACTTGCCAGCAGTAAAGCTATCCACAGCTGCCTACCATATTGGTTTATAAAAGCATATGTTTATTATTTGTGGCACTCTGTAATGCAAAAGTTGCATTTATCTCTGATTATGGATGTTGGGATTTCAGTGTACCTACAAAGTGAAAATATTCATTGTGTTTCTTTTTACATAAATCTTCCATAAAATCTACATAAAATCACTCCAGTCTTTTAATAATATTATTCGTTAACATGAACATGACAGGAATAAAGAATGAAACACCAGATTGTTTTATACAGTTCTGTATTTCTTAAAATGAGTTAACTTCATGGAATACGCCTCCTTCTGCTGGAGCATGGCGTGGTGCCATTCTAGTCAAATGAAAGTAGAGCTTTAAAAATAAGGGTTTCTACCCAAAGACTAACACCCAGTGTGTGCTAACCCCACTTACTTGCATCAGCTTCTTAAGTGTGCCTCCTAAGAGCACTGTACAAATTATGCAAAACCTTATTTCTCTTTAAAGGTGTATTAAATGTATTCCTTCATGAAGGTACAAATTAATAGGGTTTTTTGTATTGTGTAAACTTCCACCTTTAAATGCACTTTGCTACCTTTAGGTCTTCAAAATATTTCAAATTGAAAAGCCCGAAGTGAGAACCACATCCATGCAGAGATTATTCTTAAGCATTTCATTCTGGCTGTTTTATCAACATTATTTTTTTTTATCTTCATTAGTTGCCTTTGTTCCATTTTCTTTATTCTTATTCTCTGAAAATTCAGTGGTATGCTTTACAGTGTTGTGGCTAGTTGGAGCCTGCTAAGTGTTAATGCAATTTAAGTTTGTTTAGTTCAAATAAGGGGGGTTGATGGGAAGAGGGTTATGAGGTATACCTTTAATTTAAACCATTTACATGGTACTGAAGCTAGTTAATTTGTTAGTGTGTGTGTAATATTTTGCTTACTTGTCATCTTTCCATGTGTCTAAACTAAGCTGTGTTCAGTCAGCCTGCTATACACCGTATCCTTGTATCTCGTAAATCTCTTGCTCTCAAAAACCTTGGTTCTGAAATATCTGACATTCCAAAATATGATTTATTTTGTAGATACGTATGTTAAGTTAACACTGCTGAACTCGATGGGGCAAGAGATGTCCAAATGCAAAACGTCAATCCGCCGAGGACAGCCAAATCCAGTATACAAAGAAACCTTCGTTTTCCAAGTGGCACTGTTTCAGCTTTCAGATGTGACACTCATACTGTCTGTGTATAATAAGCGCAGCATGAAGCGAAAAGAGATGATAGGGTGGATTTCCTTAGGTCTCAACAGCTCAGGAGAAGATGAACTCAATCACTGGACTGAAATGAAAGAATCTAAAGGACAGCAAGTATGTAGATGGCATACTTTACTAGAATCGTAACGGATGGTACGAAGTGCAGTCGTGGTTCTAAGGGATTTTGGTCTCCAGAAGATGATCATCCCTGGTAACAATCAACAGATTTGTTGTGGAAGTAAAAATTGAAAATTGAGGTCAACATTCCATCATAAAGAATGCACAACATGCAAACTGGTGGGATTTAATAGATAATCTTCACTTTATCCTACGCTTCCTTTGACAGAGAAGCCTTGCTGTACACAGATACATTAGTGGTCCCTCTCCCATCTACCTGATGCTGTATTTGTTTGGGTTTGTTTTGTGTTTTTTGATTCAGAAACATTTTATGTAAGGTTCTCCAAATCAATGTAAGCTCCTCCTTGTGTGATTTTTGTATTGCTTTAATACTGTAGCTTCTGACCTGCCTGTGTTCAGATTAAAGGTCAATAATTTGCACTTTGAGAAAAATTGAATGATCTGTAGAGCAAAATTAAAACCCACCAGTGGAGAACACTTAGTAATATAGCAAATACTTCTATACTGTTGTTTTACACTGAGTTTCTTTCCAGGAGCTTAGTACAACTAAGTTTTCATTTTTTGATATGCAGTTGGTTTGAAAACTCCTAGCATTTGGGCAGCAGGTGAACTTTGACATCAAACTAATGTTTCTTCAATCTGTGACAGGAACGAGCTCTATATATGGCATAAATTGGGTTTTTCCCTTTTGCCTGTACTTCTGCCTAATCCAAAGAGACCAGATCCTTAGTTTGGTCCCTTCCAAATCTCCTTAGACAGGTTGTACTGTAAAACTATGTAACTTTCTGTTGAAAGCACTTCCTGTATTCATGTATTCCAATGTAGGAAGCTCATAGAGCACGACTTTACTAAAATATTTTTTCATTAAACAAATTGATACAGATTTCTTTAAGATGTCAGCAGTTGGAAGGTAGGTTGAAAGACGTGAAGGAAGTGGCAGCAGTTGAACTACTCTGACTGAATGCCAAACAGTGTGGCTTTGGTTGAAACAGGTATCCATTTGAATCTCTTCTGAGCTGTTTTAGGGATTACCGTATGCTATTCGTTGGAAGTAGAGAGCAGACCTGGAGTTTTTACCTTTCTTCTTGGAGAAGAGAACCATCAGTAAGTTATTTTTCTAGAGATTTGCCAGCAATTGAATGAATGTTCACACTCAATGTAGAAGTTTGCTTTGCTTATGTTCAGGTTGGGAAACACAACTTTCTAATGACACAACTGAGAAGCCACAGTATCCCAAGAAAGTTTGCCATCAGATAAACCCTCATGGCTTCCAATGAAATTGGGGAAATTCCAGTGCTTCTGAGATTCCTATTTGTCCCAAATACTTTCACAAGAATCACACTAATTTACTGGCTGCTGAATATAATTCATGTTATATTCATTGTGGATTATTGAGAAAACATATTTTTAAAAAGCTTCCCAATTCAAATACTCTCTTTGTGTGTAATTATAAGTTTCATGTAATTGTTGCTGTATGGAAAGCAAGTGATTTTTTTTCTATAAATGATGGTGATGTCTTACTAATATGGGATCTCATTGACTGTTGTAGGACTTGGTGGTTAGAAGAGTGAAATTTTGGAATGTGTTGAGAGAATTAGTGATAGCCTAGAGGGTTCTCATTAGGACAAGTGTTTTTCTCTTGATTTTCATTATAATACTTGTAAACAATCCTGGCTTTAGGGTATACAGACAGTCAAGTACAGTGAGATCGAGACCGTGAGTATTCTACAATAAAGATATATCACATGGTTCTCACATTCTCACACTGATTAGCAATTTCATTAAGTCCTTTTTAATAGATACTGTAATTCCACTTCATGGTTTATTTGGTGCCTTTGGAGGGGTCTCTTCGCAGAGCCAGGCTTTCAGATTTTATTGATTTAAAGATTTAAAACATTATTACAGGCCTTTTTGGGTTTTTCTCCCCTGTTATTGTGCTGCTGCTTCATTTACAGAAGCTTTGTTTACTAAATACAGATGATGCAAAAACTTTATTCAAACAGGAATGGTCTTGCAGTAATACAGTACAAGTTATCTCTTTCAGTCCTTTTTGTTGCTCAGTTTGTGAAACGTAATGTTGAGTGTAGAATTTAATAAAAAATCAACATTAATTTTATATGCATAAGGAAAATGCTCAGATTTTCCTGATCCTTTCAGCTTTCGGTATAATAGAAACACTGACATAGATGCTGTTCAATAGCAATTTTTTAATTGATGTAGAAGTGTTTTTACTCATTCTGTTTGTGGATATTTGGATACTCTTTCCTAAAGCCAAGAGTTATCTCTTGGTTGTACAGGTTGTGCTTTATAAAATAATGTACAGTATTTAACAGCATGAACTGAGCAAATTCATTCCAGTGGAGAATATACTTACCACCACCACGGAATAAATGAAGAAGTCAGTTTGGAAGGTGCAGCAAATAACCTCTTACAGAACCAAACTAAACAAACTATATTGTGACTTGGCTTTCTGTTTGTAGGTTGCATTGCTTGAATTTTACGTGTAACCATTCCGATTTCTAAGACACTAAAATCTTAATTGAGGCACAGCAGAGATTTATAGTCCGTATATATATGTTGGGCACATTTGGACAGAGGAATCCCTCTAAATCGTGTGACTTCTCCCACGGTATTCAGTTCCAGTCTGTGCGTCACGAGAGGAGGTTTGACTTACTTGGGTTTATACTGTACAAAGGCTGGGAACTGAATGCATAAAGAGTGAAAATGAATGTTCAATTTTGAGGCAGTGGAATATGGATTTGCCATGCAAAACCAGTCACGTCAATAATTGGATTCGCCCTGGGATTTTTATGAATTAGTTAGAGTATCAATAGATGTCATGTTGGTTTTCTTCGTAGATCCCATTCTTACGATTTATTTCAAATTTGTTTTCCTTATTCCTTTATGCAAACCTATACTTTTGTATTTGAAATCAGTCTTTTAGATATTGGTTTTCTTAAACCCTGCATAAGGGCTTATACATCCAGTGTGCTTTTGTGCATTCAGTTAGGTCTGAAGCGTGGAACAGAATTTCTGAAGAACAAAGTATCAGAAACAAATTAGAGGCATTTGTGTTTTCCTCAGAGTTCTCTGTGCTCTTTATTCATAGCTTTTTGTTGTTTACCTTTGTTCTAAAGTACAGTAAGTACTTGGAAGAACTTATCAAATTAAGTACTTTCCTGTGTGCCAACATAGCATGTGGAGATTACAATTCCTGAATTGAATCTGTTTCCTGACAGTGTAGCCTTAAATAGTCATAGAACAGTGACGATCTTACAGATTCTGATCTTGAAAATACTGCATCCTTTCTCTATATGATCTATTTAACTTAATGTTTAGAAGATTTCACATAGGCCTTCTCAAAGTGTTGTAACTATGAAGAAGTTGATTAGTTCCTTTCTGTGGTAAGGGCAAGATTGTGAAGGGCACTACAGTCAAGAATGAAATCACTGTGCAGAAGAATGACATCCATGTTGTAACCACGCTGCGAAGGTGGACGTTAGGCAAAGTGTAAGTTCTGCTACTGGAAAAATATGACATGATTTCTAAATCCAGTTAAAATCCTCTAACCTTGTTAATTAGATTTCAAAGTATGTTAAGCCCTTGGAATGAATGTATGTGCTCTTATTGGAACTGAACCTTGTTTATCAATGTAGAGAATACTTGAGCTGAAAGCAGATTTTGTGGCGTTCACTGTAGGAGATATTTTCGCCTGTAATTCTTTACAACCACTCCTGATGGCAGGATGCAGTGCCAGCATCAGAACCTTCCCATTTTTCACACCCTTGGAGCAATTTTTTGCTGTTGTCTAAAAATTTGTGTTTGTGTTACTGATTTATTCTCTTTTCTCCCTAATGACTTGCTCTGGCAAACTCCCCAGCACCCTGAGAAGCTGTCTGTGCAGTCACTGGACCTTAGATGTCAAAGGCACTCTGCACGTCTTACAGTAAGGTACTGCTGCAAAACTTCTATGATCTGTCCAACTCCCTAAGATTTCTAAATCCAAACCATCAGGCTAAATATACTGAAGCAGAAGAATAAAACTTCTTTTTCTTCAAAGGAGACATTTTAATGGAGGAATTGGAATTAGATCGCTCTTACGCATACACATTCTAACAAAAACAGAGAATAAGATTTGAGGGGAAGCCTTTTGGCCTGAGCTGTTCCAACTTGAAACTCACAGCAGAAAGCCCTTTCATTTAAATGAGATTTGTGTTGAACCTTTTATTTATTCATAACACTTTTCTAGAGGAAAATAATGGGTCCTGTTTAAAGCGTTCTTTAAAATTATGGCTTGTCCCTTGTAAGGCACACTGACTTCCTCCTGAAGCTGAATTCTCAGTAACAGCTAAACATCCATTTAATTTTCCTATTGATGTGCATGCCTACCTATTAATGTTAATCTGGGGAGCCCATGGGCATCAACAGGAGAGTAAACCTGACCATGAAAGGATGAAGTGCAACAGGATCAGTAGGTTAGAGCAGTGTTACAGTGTGGCACCTGCAACACCATCGAATGTGAATTTAATTATGAATGGAGGTGTAAAACCAAGTATCCAGATACTGTCACATACTTGCTATTTAATCATTATCTTTTATTTTTGTTTTTCCTTTTCCTCAGCTTATGAAATATTTTTAAAACTTAATATTTAAACTGTTAAAGCAGTCCCCAAACATCTTGATCATTTTAACTGGAACATTCAGCAAATTCATTGTTAGAACAAGCCATCAAGAGTGTTCTGTATTTTTGGTCTATTTAACTCAACTGCCAGATTTTGTAGTGCATCACAGCTGGATTTCAGACTACTTTGTTCTGATGGTAGTTTCAGAGGGGAAAGGCACAGTAGTGTTTGCTTGTCAGTGAATCAATGCCTGATGAAGAGATGTTGTCTGAGAGCGAGAGCAGTAAAGTAACAGATGGTTTCATACAGTGGCAGCAAAAGTGACTCAAATTCCACTATTGGAGCCTTGTGGCCCTCAGAGGACCCTACTCAGAGAAACCAGAACAT